GCACTTACCAGATTTCTAATTTCTGGATTTGCTACTTAAACACACACCTTTTGTTTACTTAAACAATAATTTTCATATATAGGGCTTCAACAAACTAATCAGTTCTAACAGTACTCTGCTCTAACTTACTATTTTATTTTACTAGTTTGATTACTAGTATTTGCTAATGACAATTTTAAATTTTCTAATTTATTCTAATACACTTTTATGACACCTTTATTAAATCAGAATAGCTGAAAGTCTTTCAGCCCTCATGGTGATTTGTCTGTGTGTGCAATTTCCCCCGGGTATATTGTATGTATTGTCTTACCACTCCCATTAGTGATTGCACACCGATCTTAATCTCTTTTGGTCAGGGTTGTTGGATAAAAGCCCAGCTGATTGATCTCATTAAGAAAAGGCAATGAACACACTAAGTATATTCCAGACCCTAGACAGTCTACACAGCCAAGAAAAAGCTTCTAAAAATAGTCTGGCATGTACAAATACTGTTACCATTTAAGCAAGATTCCCTTTAAAATCGGTGTGAAAGTTCTCAGTACCAAGTTTCAGATGGGGTACAGTGGCCTGCTCTGCCTCAGCAGACACCATCTTGATTTTGCTATTTGCGAAAAAAGGTAAATAAGACAAATGACTGAAAAGGGGTCAGGAAAAGAAATGAAGAGCTATTTGCTATCCCAGCTCCATTTCTGTGCAGCAGGGTCGGGTGCCCGGGGTTCCCCAGGGCAGGCAGCTCCAGGTGTGCTCATGGTATTTTTCTGAATCCACTGAAGAGCTGCTACTTGATCTAAACATCCCCAGTTCCCTCGGGCATGTTTATCCCCAGTGCTGCAGAGAAAGGACACGCTGCTTTCAGTGCTCAGTGCAAGGAAAAAGGCAGAGGAAGATACAGTCTATGGTGTGAGAAATCATCTGCCATTCCCTACACACAACTTCTCTCCACAAGTGAGAGATAAAGAGCCCGGAAAAGAGAGCAGCAAACCAAGAAGAACGGATCTGAAAGCCGAGTTGGGACTGGTGAATTGTTCCCAACTGTTGCAGATGCAAGGAAGAAATTCAGAGTTTCTTTGCACAAACAAGTCTCCTGCACTCCTCTCCACTAAACCCCTCTGGATTTACCTGTCGCCAGCAGCGCCGCGACCCCGAGGGTGACGATGCAGGCGAGCAGCGCCGTGTCCTTGCCCTGTGCCATGGTGCTGGCGCTCGCACCGCTCCCGGCAGCGGCCTTTTATGCCGAGAGCGGGACGATTGCGCAAGGCACTCGCATCATCGGCAGGGGCAGCGCTCGGGCTCAGAGCCAGCGGGGCTGGAGTGCCAGGGCACAGCCCGGAGCCGCTCCCGGCCCCCGCTCAGCACCCGCAGGGTTGGGACGGGGAGCCTCCTGCCCCCCGAGTGTCCTGCTGCCTCCCTGCTGCTCCTTTGGAATCTTAGGCACAAAATCTCTGCTTCAAATTGCTTTGGAATTGCTTTCCTTGCACCAGGTGTGTCCTGCTGCGGTGCCACCGCTCGCTGTGACAGGGATTTCCTCACACTACACAGCAGAGCCCAGGAAGGGAACCTCACTTCTGCTTTATTACCCGTTCACTTGATTTTCACAGAATATTCTGAGTTGGAAAGGACCTACAAGGATCTTCAGCTCTTCAATGGCCCATACAGGGACTGAATCCACAACCCTGGCATTATTCACACCAGGCTCTGACCAGCTGAGCTCGTCTCAGTTTGGTGTTAAGACCTCAGTGTAAGAAACACAACATAGCCCAATCCAAACCAGAGTCCCTGAACAATATGCTTTTCCTGAAGTAAAAATTGAGGGATTTTCATTCTCACAAAAAGGGTTTTTTGGACAAAAACAATTCTAGAAAAATCCTGGCTCTTTCTGCAGGGTGCAGGAGCCACCTGTCACTCAGTCCTGTGTGTTCAGGGAGGTTTGGTACAGTGTTGCAATCAGTTGCAACAATAAAGAGATCACTTATCAGCTTTTGTAGTGCTGGAACAATATTAGAGGGTGTTATTTGGGTGGTAACTATATATTTAATACTTCTGAAAAACCAGGAGGATTTATTTTCTGTGTCAGCTCCCATCTATAATTGAAGCATGGTGTGGAAAGGAGGGACTAGAATAGCTGAATAGAAACAAAGGAAATTTTCTGCTCACATTAACCAAGAGGTTGTGTTAGTTTCATGTAAGCTTTAGGCTCTGCCTTTGTTTTTTCCCAAAAAGGCAGTGTTGCAATTTTAAATCGTGAGAATTCTTAATTGTCAGAGACAGCATTTCATAGAATCATATCATACACTCACAGAGTGCTTTGGGTTTGAGGAAACCTTAAAGCTTCTCATTCCACCCCTGCCATGGGCAGGGACACCTTCCACCAGCCCAGGTTGCTCCAAGCCCCATCCACAGGACACTTCCAGGGATGGGGCAGCCACAGCTTCTCTGGGCAACCTGTGCCAGGGCCTGCCCACCCTCCCAGGGAGGAATTTCTTCTGTCTACCTAATCCAAACCTACCTCTTCTTGGTTTGAAGCCATTCCCCCTTGTCCTGTCACTACATGTCCCTGGCCAGGTCCCTCCCCAGCTTTCCTGTAGGCTCCTTCAGGCACTGGAAGGGGCTCTCAGGTCTCCCCAGAGCCTCCTCTTCTGCAGGCTGAACAATCCCAGCTCTCTCAGATTGCCTCCACAGGAGAGGTGCTCCATAGCTGTAGATTAATTTACTGCTTGCACATCTCTAGGTGGGTTGCAAAGACCCACAGTCATTCAATTAGTTCAGCAGATAATATTATGCACCTACTAATGCTGTATACTGTGGCTTGTGTACTTTACTCCCCAAGTTCCTTGTGTACTTTACTGCACAGGTGTGATTTACAGCCCTTGTAGGTAAATCCCAGTCACCTTTAACCAGGCCTGCTCAGAGAGCAAACTGCTGGCAGCAGCTCCAGTGTTTACACTCAGTGCATGCTGAGCCTCCCAGGGATGTGCTCGGATTGTGGGGCAGTTCCTGCCCTCCAACACTGCCTGCTGTGCTGGTGTCAGCTCTCCCGTGCCTGAGGGCATGGCCAGTGCTCCCTGTCCACTGCCAACGGCACTGCCTAATGCAGCCCGTGCAAACAGGGGCCTGGGGGACAAGGGGTGCAGCTTAACACGTTCTCTTTTACCTTTATTTGTGGGATAAAGGTCTCTGAGATGCCAGGGGTAGCAGTACTGCACGGTGGGAAACTCGGCACTCCTGTTTGTCTGCCCAGATGCCATTGCAGAGTCTCTGCCTCCACTTACCTTGGACTGCTTTGTTTCCTGGCAAGGCAAAACTGTTTCCCTGAGAGGTGGAACTTCAGGAATCCCTCCTTGTGACTCACCTTTCACCCTGGTGGACATGCACAGTCTCAGTTCACTTGTGACCCACAAACTACAGGAGGAGTCCTTTGCTGCAAAGCCAAATACTGTTTACTCTGCTTGCTGCTCTCTCCTTTTGCTGTAACAAACTCCATTTATTTCCATAAACAACTTATTTTATGTCTCCTGATCTTTGCTGATTTTACTAAATGCTGTATTTCCTATTTAGTTTCCTTTTCTTTTTCCCCTTCATTGCTACTTCCCAATTCTTCCTCTCCAGTCTTTGTTCTGCTCACTGCTTCTCTCCCAAGTACCCATTCTGCAAAAAGTCTCAGTCCACATCCCCCCCCAGGCCTGGAGAAGCAGCCATTCAGAAAATATTCTGTGTGCAAACCAGTTTCTGCAAACTCTGCCCATCTCACACGTAACAGGATGATAAAAAATAGGATTTTAGATCCCGACAGCATTGTCTGTAGACAGTTGGATGGATCTGCAAGCATTGCTTTGCCAAGGTAGAAACTCTTACTCCAGTGACACAGAGTAGCCTTGCAGAATCTGGAGCAGTGCCACCTACCTGGGGAGGGCAACTCCTGTGTCCTACTCAGCATTTAAGAGATAACATTTTGCAGCTTACCCTCAATCAGTGAATAACGCTTAAGTCAGGGCTCAATCAAAAAAAATCCTGCCTCACGATGACCTTTGGCTCTTTACACTTTCATGCACTGCTGCCTTTCTTGATTCCAACAGCTGGAAAAAAAATAGACAACTATCACAGCCCCTGGTGAGTACTCAATGAAGCCACAGAGAATAGAACAGAGCTGGAGTCTAAGCAGTTTGGACAGCTTTAACACTCTCTTTAGCATGAGGTAAACTCCCAGCAGGATGTCTGGGATGGGACAGAGCACTCATCTCTATGCAGATATGAGTAAAATCTGTTGACATTTTCCACTGTGATGTATTTTTACATGGGGTCAGTTCCACTGCACCTCTCTGCACACACTCACAAGATGAGCACACATTCAGGCTGCCTGGTTTATCCCCTTTGAGAGGGAAGGGTGCAATGAAAAGCTATCAACACTGTTTTGAGATGATATTGCCCTTGCCAGGCATGTTAGATAAAACAAAGGAGGAGGGGAGATGCTTAGAAGGAATTTCTGTTTAGTAAAACAGCAGCTGTGCTAACAGTTCACCCTACCTCCTGATTTCTGACTGGCTACAGAATTCGGGCAAGAAGATGTAGGAAATCCCACCCTAATTCTTGCAATGAAGTAATTTGGAAGGAAATGATGGCCAGCTAGTTGCTGTAGGCCGTGATTAGCTATGAAGAATCTAAAATGCTTCCAGACACCAAGAGGGGAGAGGAAGGGACTGACTGCTCAGGGAACAGCCCCAGCACAGCAGGAGCACCAGGACAAAGCCTGCAGGGTTGCTCCCTGGAGAGGAGCTCCAGCTAAACTGAAAAGGAGAGAAGGGGGTGTCATTTTCTCCCTTTTCTAACATTTGAGAGAAGCCTTAATCCCAGCACCACCATGACAGATATGTACCACAACAGTCAGAACTACACTGGCTCTGTTATAAAACCAACTTACACAGCAGGACATTCTGTAGTTTCATTTTCTTTCACAGAGGGCATTTCTGGGACACCTGACATCAAAAGACAGTTTTACTGGTAAATTGGGTTTTCATTGATTTCCTTTTATTAAAACAAAGTTTTACATTCTATGTACATTCTGTCTTCAGTCATGGGGAAGTGACAGAAAAACCTGAACACCGGGGAAATGTGGTAGCTGTTTTTAAGAAGTGAAGGATCAACTGGAATTATTACAACGAATAATTGCAAATATGACAACCGTGAAGAAAAGATGAAAAGAGGGGAAACAGAATCTTATCCTCAAAATGACTTTAAGGAATTTCTTTCCCTATCCTAATACCTTGCATATTATGTGCATGTTTAGACTGTAAATTATAACTCTGAATTAAGCTTCTTGTTTTCCATTCTTTGCCTATTTGCCTTTTCAAGCATCAGCTTCCTCCAGAAATCCACCTTCTGTTCTTTCAACTTGCTGGCTTTCTTTAGTTTTAGGTTTATCTGCAAGTATTCTTCATTTAGGTTGTAAGATGGCCATTCAACCAGACCCTCTCCATTAGGATTTCTGTAAAAAACAAGAAAGAAAGAAAGAAAGAGTGAATGCCCTTTCCAGGCACAGAAGTCAGTACAGAGCACTGATGTGTCATGACTCTCATGCTTCTTACCCATTTCGAGCAAAGTTAGCCCAGTACTTCATCAGAGTTCTACTGAGGTTCTTTTCTTCCTCTGTAACTTCACCTGAAAGGCAAAATAAAAAATAGCTATGATGTGTGGCAAAAGCAAGACATCACTGCTGCAGGAGCAGCATTTCTGTCTGTGAAAATGCTGCAACAGCTTATCAACTGCAGCAGAGACAGGATACCTGCAAAACGTTAGCAGTGCAGCATCACGAGATGTCAGCACTCCACCAGCGACACAATTACCCTCATCCTACAACCAGGCAGTTTGGGAACAAGGAAACAAGGTGATGTGCCTGGAGCTTTCCCAGAAACCAGAAGCAGAACCAAAGAAGCCCATGTGTTCTGCCAGCACAACTCAAGGAATGGGCCACATGGTTTAGCTTCCAGGATCTCACTGCAGCTTTGTGGGGCTGAAATCCTCCCCCTCGCTCAGAGCGTGCTGAGGCAAAGATTTCTTCATTGTGACCCAAGGTGATGCCATCTGTCAGCACTTCAAGAATGTCCATGTGTACACAGTGACACACAACCCACTGCATCACCAGAGGGAAAGAACTGCACTGTGTTATTCATTATAAGTGCATCTCAACACATTAAGAGAAAATATTTGTTATCTTAATGCCTTCAGTAAATTCAGGCAAGCAGGAAAAGAATTGGACAGTGTTTCCTACTGTAGTAAGTATGGAAGTAAAAAAATAAATATAAAATACAAGCAAATCAAAAGGCTCTAGTAACAGATTAACAAAGGGTTTTACAACATAGCTGGATTGCTCCAAAGTTCAATGGAGTAAAAGGAAGCACTTTCATTTATGTAAGCTTTGAAACAGACTATGAACTACTGTTCAAATGACAAAAACAGCAGAAAAAATTGTGAATTCACTTAAAGTAAGTAGAATTTTTGTGTTTTCTTTGTCAAAATAAGAACTGTCCCTAATTTGTTTCGTGGGAAAGAAAATCCCCCATCCTGACTATTATTGTTTTAGGTATATATAATGAAAGCATATTGCTGGATTCACAATATTCCCTAGGATGTGGCACCGTGTACCTGATCTGTTCAGTGACTGGCACGTTCACCTGGAATGTATCAATGTGGGATTCTGCCAGAAGGAACTTCCCAAATCTCAGGAGAATGTTGGGGCTACACCCTTAATCCTCCCTCAGTGGACTGGTTCCATTTTAAGTAAAATGATTATGTATTAATTGAGTCGTGGAGCTACAGAGTCTTCAATCTAAGCATTAGATCTTCCTGCAGCAAATGAAACACTGCAGTCCCAGGCTGAGCTCTGAACACAGCTGGAACAGTATCTGCAGCACAACTCAAGGAATGGGCCACATGGTTTAGCTTCAGGATCTCACTGCAGCTTTGTGGGGCTGAAATCCTCCCCCTCGCTCAGAGCGTGCTGAGGCAAAGATTTCTTCATTGTGACCCAAGGTGATGCCATCTGTCAGCACTTCAAGAATGTCCATGTGTACACAGTGACACACAACCCACTGCATCACCAGAGGGAAAGAACTGCACTGTGTTATTCATTATAAGTGCATCTCAACACATTAAGAGAAAATATTTGTTATCTTAATGCCTTCAGTAAATTCAGGCAAGCAGGAAAAGAATTGGACAGTGTTTCCTACTGTAGTAAGTATGGAAGTAAAAAAATAAATATAAAATACAAGCAAATCAAAAGGCTCTAGTAACAGATTAACAAAGGGTTTTACAACATAGCTGGATTGCTCCAAAGTTCAATGGAGTAAAAGGAAGCACTTTCACTTATGTAAGCTTTGAAACAGACTATGAACTACTGTTCAAATGACAAAAACAGCAGAAAAAATTGTGAATTCACTTAAAGTAAGTAGAATTTTTGTGTTTTCTTTGTCAAAATAAGAACTGTCCCTAATTTGTTTCGTGGGAAAGAAAATCCCCCATCCTGACTATTATTGTTTTAGGTATATATAATGAAAGCATATTGCTGGATTCACAATATTCCCTAGGATGTGGCACCGTGTACCTGATCTGTTCAGTGACTGGCACGTTCACCTGGAATGTATCAATGTGGGATTCTGCCAGAAGGAACTTCCCAAATCTCAGGAGAATGTTGGGGCTACACCCTTAATCCTCCCTCAGTGGACTGGTTCCATTTTAAATGAAATGCTTATGTATTAATTGAGTCATGGGGCTACACAGCCTTCAACCTAAGCATTAGATCTTCCTGCAGCAAATGAAACACTGCAGTCCCAGGCTGAGCTCTGAACACAGCTGGAACAGTATCTGCAGAAGAGACCAAGTGCCCCATTCCCT